CCTTTTATTTTCCTAAAAATTAGTCCTACCAGCACATATTAGAGAATCATTCATTTTTATTTTCCTTGAGCAAATATTTTTTTACAATTTAATCATGTTTTCATAGAAGATGTCTGATAAATGTATTATGCTGATTATCTTAATTTTCTACGTAATGGTAATAGTTTTTACCTGTTTAATGCATTTTCAAACTAATAATATATTCTCAGTTATTATATACTTCCCTAGTAATTATCAACTGCTCAAAAAACAATTATTTAGCCGTTAAGCATGCCTTAATTCTCAATAATATTTTAATCATGAGAAGCTTGATAAAAGAACTAAAGGAATTGGCAGTAACGGTATCACTTAATGCAGTGGCCCTCGGTTTAGGGTCTGTAACACACACTGGATAGTACAGTAAGTCTTATGTACACAAGGAGTTAAGTACATCCCCAGCTATGTGCAGTCAATAGTCCTACCAAAGTCTGTGTAAATGAAAGCTTTCATTACCATAAAGAGAAAAAAGGTACTACATTTTCATATCTTAAATATAAATAAAATCATATATAAACACATGAATATATTGAAGAGACTGACTGATAATACTGGTTGATTTAAGAGCTTGATTGATACATTTAAGCCTTGATTGATATGCTACTCACAAACTGCTATTAAATATAACTCACTTTAAGCTTTACCAGAGTAAAATATATATTCATACTATATTCAAAACTGCATGGTACATTTTTATTTCAGATATATGGACAAAATTAATGCAATGATCACATAATAAAAATCTGAAACGTAGCCAAGCCAGAACTGTCATATTTGTATCTGCCCTCATTCTGGATCACGGCTCTGTGAAAAAGCTCTGTGAGCCAGGAGCAAAGATGCACAGCAGGGACAGCACTTTCACACAATAAATACCCCAGGTTTCTTTACGAATAACTCTCAGAACAGATGAACGTTTAAAGTTTGCTACAGAGCTTGATTTTGACGGAGAAATGTTTCGAGAGCAGCAAAAGCACCAGAGTTCCTATTGTAGGCTTGGTTTTATTGTACCATTTTTCTACAGAAACCCATCTGATCTTGTACATTTTAATTACAAAGGGGTACAGAACCTATTTCACATCTGCTCACCAAGCCTGAGAAATGTTTTATAGAGAAAAGGAAATGAGAAGGTCCAGGAATACGAATGAACTGAAACATAAGCATATCACAAATTCCTCCTTCCCTTCAAAATCAGTTCTAATCATTTATTGTGAAATATATTTGGGCTTGGTCCACAGTAATTTTAATTCAAACAAACGCATCTAAATTTCTTCCATTTTTACCACTACAGGATATTTTTTTTTGTTTATTCTTTAATCATTTTGCCAGCAGTATGCTGAACGCTATTTCTTTAAGAATGCAATCTACAGCATTATATTCCCAAATGGCTGGGAAAACCTTTGCCATGACTCCCAAGTTGCAACATGCTAGATATTCACAGGTTTCCAAAGCTGCTGGCTGAAGATGTAATGAAAGGATCTAAGGTTTATGCATGAATCAGCATCCCCTTGCCCTAATGTCATGGTGCAGTGATCCCTGCAGAGCTATAAGACTTGATTTAAAACAGAAAAGCTCAATGCTGGCTCTTGAGCCAGCAGGATTAAACATCCAAGATTGTGCGTATATTACCTCTGTGCTGAAACTACTATATGAAAAACTTGTTACCATTATGGAGGTTTTATAGTACTCCACAGGAAACCTCTCTTTAGGTGACTCCAATATCCTTCCAGTGAAAAAAGATGTGAGTACATAATATATCTATCCCTGTCTGGGTTGTTGGATTTAAGGGGAAAGGACTTTGTCTTCACCAGTTTCCTCTTTTCTTGTTTTAAAGGAAAAATCTGATGCTGCTGATGGCCAGCACTTCTCCAATTAGACAAGACTCAATTACACTGTGCTGAAGAACAATAAAGTCCAGTGGTTTGGACACCTTCCAATTCCGCCCCATGAATTACCTGCAGTGCTGTACCTCTGCCCCAGCTGTTAAAAGCCAAAAAGGTTCTGTTAGGGTGAACCACTTTGTAACCAGCCTTTACCAGCTAGGCTGGAATCTTCTGAATTGCTAAGTATTCTCAGAGGGCTAAGTCTGGCCCCACTTCTCTTGAGGGATGTAACAGTAGTCACGGCATCAAACATTTCTCTTAATCGTGCCATCAGTCTGAAGAAAGACTGCACATCTCTCAATCAAAATCATTAAGCCTCCTGGTGACACCGACTTGCAAGGTGTCAAACTGCAATTAGATTCCAACAGCTGCTCCTGATGACCTGTCAACACAGCTTTGCACCAGACTTGCAACAGTCCAACAACCTAAAATAACTATTTGGTATGGATATATCACATGAGTTAAGGCTATCTACTCACAGAGTCTCCTTTCCTTCTTCTGGTCACCTTTAAAAGACTGAGTAGTCTTCTTATACTGTTTCAAACACCCCTCAGTGATATATAACCACTGTCTCCTCTTTTCTGGAAGTTTAGGAACCTAACTTAAAAGTAGTACCAACAATACAACCGGTTCATCTAAAACCTGTTTGCTCCATCAAGGAACTCTGAGCAAATGCTAATACTAAGTTTGAAGATTCCTTTAGATAGCTTAAACAGTGGGGGTTTTGTTTGTCTCTTTTTAAAGGGAATGGAATTGTATGCCCCCGTTTCCCTCAGTTCCTGCGTTGTGTGAGGGAGGCAGGCACATCCCAGCTGGGCTGCTGGGGTGCACGGCGGCACACCACACCTCCTGCACCATCACCCAGAGCTCCTGCAGCCTTCTTTGGGGGATTTTAAATAAAGTTGGGGGATTTTAAGTTGAAAACTGTAATATTTTGGTTATTGATTTTAGAAAATTTATTTGTTATTCTTAGGGCAAGAAAAGGTCGTTACTTCTATTACGGTATAAGCCTGCCACTACATTTCTGTGAAGGAAAATCACCTTGCTGGAGTGAAATATCTGGGTGAATACTGAGCCATTTTCAGTTTCATATTATCCTACTTTTCTGTGACCACCTTTTTACACCTGCATTGTTTAACTGTTGATAATGCTGGCTTCGGACACAGGTTCTTTGAATGTTACTCTGAAAAGAAAAAAGGAACCAAACCCCAACCTGCAGATTTTTCAATATTTTGAATGAGAACAAGCATAAAAGAGGGAAAAAAAAAAGGAACCTGTTTAACCATTTGTGCTTGCAATGCTTTGCAATCAATTCTAAATTTTACTTCTTATATGGCAAATACCTGTCTTCAGAACTCCGTGTTCCCCAATCAAACCATCTTCAGAAGGTAATCAAGGAAATACTGTATGTATTTTTAGCTTATACTTCACTAGTCAATTAAATCCAACTGACAAGATAACATGACGAAACCATCAGTGGTGACTGAGGTGATGAAAAAGTAAGTACATGTTGACATCTTAATTTGGTGCTCTTAAAACTGCTTGAAAATGGAAGCCTTAGACAAGGTTCAGACAAAGGGAAACCCAAAACATGGATAGCATCTCCCCTCTGCTGGAAGTCTCAAAGTGCATCATTGCAGTCTACAGCCAACACATGTCATCTGAGTATTCTGAGTTCTCCAAGGAAGACAGCCAAACTCAAGAACAAGACAGACGCATGACAAAAACACTGATAAAAAACTTGATGGGGACGGAGAAAAATCTGTACCGTTTACTTTCTCAAAGGCCAGGTGGCTATATTTGTCTCTAGTACGAAAAAAAAATATTATGGCATTTTACACAAACTGTTTTCAGGATTTCGTTGATTTCGCCGAACCGTGAAACGCAGAAAGACCAGTCACGTTTTTGCTGAATGCCATCTAGACCACTACACAATCCCTTCCTTCACTGACAGTCCCAGTACGGCAGCTACTGTACAGCATTTCTCAGGACTGCAAATGCTACCCACACGCAGTTCTGCTTGCTGGAAACCCTCATTACCTAAGAAAGGAAGAACTCATCCCCAGGCAGCTTGCAAAGGTTGGCAAAGCGGCCTTACTGTGGCTGGTTACATGCTCTGACCTTTTCTGACTTCAGCTACGTGTGCTGTACCCTCCTGTCCTCACACAGGCCACTGAGAGCACCGCGGGTTGCCCTCTTCCACCACCTACCCCAGCCCCCCTGCCCTGAAGCCCCCCCTTCAGCATCACCGCCCCCACCACAACGCAGCAAAAAAAAAAAAAAAAAAAAGAGGTCGCCAATAAGGGGGTGGGATAAAAACCGCTCTCGGCTGATAAACTGATCTCCAGATGCAAGTGTCCCCTCACGGCTTGTCCCGGGAGGGCTGGGGAAACGCCTGGGGGGAGCGGGGCACCGGGGGGAGCCGCAGCTGGCCGGGAGCGGGCACCAGAGCGGGTTGGGCTATCTCCCGCAACCGGGGCAGCACCTCAAACGCCGAACGCCCCCTCCTCGCTGCGGGAACCGGCAGCCTCCCGCGGGGGTCAACCCGCATCCCGCCCCGTCTAAGCACCGGGCAGCGGCCGGGTCATCACCGCGGGACCCCCCCCACCCCAAAGGCTCCCGGCTTCGCCTTCCCGAGCCGGGCATGTGCTCCCCGCCACCACGCGTGGGGCCGGGCAAAGCCCCACCGGCCGCCCACGCATCCCGCCGAGGCGAGCGGGCAGGCCCCGGGGACCCCTAGGAACCGGCCGGGGGGGGGAGACGGGAGCCCGCAACGCCGGGCGGCGTTAAAATGGCTGATGGCCCCCGCAACCGCCCGCTCCGCCGCCCCCTCGACTGCCGCCGGTTAAGGGGAAGGCTCCGCAGCCGCCTTATGTAAAAGCGTGGGGCAGGAACCATCTTAAACCTCGGGGAGGAGGGGGGCAAAGGGAGGAGGGGGGCAAAGGGAGACACCCCCCCGCGCCCCGTTTTTCCCCGGGGCCGAGAGCTCCCGCGGCTCGGCGCTTCCCCCCCCGCAACAACCGCACCGCGCACTACACCGCCTCCCCCCCCCCCGCGGCGTGCGCAAGCGCCCCGTTTACTCACAGGCGTTGGTGACGGCGAAGCTGTTGGCCACCTCCAGGTTGTCGATGTGGGGCGTCAGCCTGAACTCCGAGGTGGAGAACTGAACCATCCCTACCCGAAACGCGCTGTACTCCTGATCGGCGCCCCTCGGGAACAGCCCCCCTGCAGGGAAATACACACACATACACACAGAGTCAGGCGGGCAGGGCAGCCCCCGCACCGTCTCCCTTCCCGCTGCCGGGGGTGCCGGTGGGGCTGCCGGTGGCTCCCGTCCCGTCCCCGTCCGGTGCGGCTGGGGGTGAGGGGGCGGCGAGGGGATCCGGGGAGGCTCTGGCCACGGCTACCGGAGAGGAGCGCCGGGCGGATACTGGCCTCCCCGGCGACATGAGGGGAAACGCCGGAGGGGACCGAGGGGCGGGAGAGCCGTCGGGAAGAGCGCGATGCCCCAAGGCGGGCGGGCACCTACCGATCTGTATGCTGTTAGAAGCGACCCCCCAGATCAGTCCCCACAACGCGGGAGCCAGGAAGACAGAAATATGCATAATCTTTTGCATTTCCAGGAAAAGTAGAGCATCCACAAAGCCACGGAAACAGCCCTTTCCTCCTCCTCCTTCCTCCGCCGCCGCCGAGCGCGCTCGTCAGCAAATTAGATCCTTGACTGGCCGGCGGGGGCAACCCAACCCTGGCAGGGAAGACACGGCAACGGCCCCTCGGCGGGCGGCAGGCGCAGGAGGAGCCGCTGCCGCTGCCAGCTGCCGCCGCTCCGCGTCCCGGCTCCGGA